CTTGCGCCCGTGATGCAAGAAGACTCTCTCACGTACAATGCCGTAATGTATAAAAAAAAAAGCCTCAAACTGGGCGATCATCTGCTCAACACCAGGTAAACACCGGGTTCCGCCCCTTGACCATCTCCAAACGTTCTACGATGACCTTTTTCCGGTTACCTTCCATATCTTCATTTGCAGCATATCCTAGATCGCCGTCGTCGTCAAAGCCATAATCATCAAGGTCCCTTCTATGGGTCAAGGAGTGTCGCCTATGGTGTCGTGAATCGCGCGTGTGTCGGCGAGGCGCATCGTAACTCATGCGCGACTGATGCGGAGGCCGGCCATTTGAGTGACTGTTCAGATTACGCGAGCCCCAGTACACGTCGCTTACAGTCGCTGGTGATTCTGGGCCTTGGTCAGGGCGTCGTATGTCGAGAGAAGAAGAGCCGCGCGTAAGGTTGAAGCGATTCTCGTGTGCAGACTCGAGGGGTGGCGAGTTCATGAGAAGGTCTTTCTGGGGCTTCTGTGGCGGCGTAGAGACAGCTGTGATGTCCATCTCTTCATGCTCTTCTTCCACCCTTGGCTGTCTGCCTGGTGGTTGCTTCCTCCGCATCTCCGCGGACGGAGCTCTCAGCGGCACAGCGATGGGTATCTCGACAATGTCATCCCAGACACATACACGTGCCCTTCTCGTGAGCTCAAGCGGCCCAAGATCCGGTGTCTTCAGTGTCTCCACCACATTCCAAGCCTGTCCCTTCATGACCGCGATCTGTTTCGCATACATGCGCTCCTTGAAATCGGCATCTTGTGAGAAGCACTTTCGGAGTGCCGATTGTGTGTCGCTCCACCATTGTTTCGAGGTGAGGAGGGGAAGGAAGTGGCGGCGGGTGGCTTCGGAGAAGGGCTGGCCGATGAGCGAGACGGGTAGGAAGAGCCATCCAAAGGGATAGCTGCGCCACTGTAGTCATGTTAGTAAAGCCTTGGTGAATTTGGAGAAAGGTCTTACAGCATCAGGGTGTTTCCAGGGCCACGACAAACTGTTGTCAATGGCACCGATGGTCACTGTGGGTGTCGGCCCACTCTGCATGGGGGTGTTCGACCGGCTAGTCGTGGTCATGGGTTCCCTTCGCCCGTAAGGGTCAGATTCCTCCATCGATTGCCTTGTGTAGGAGCTCGGTTGATGGTCGTCGTCGTCGTCGCGCTCCATCCTCGGTGGTTCTGCGACAATGGAGGCCTGCTGCATCTTCTGGTCAATCTTGATCATCCAGTTGTCCAGGCCTCTGTCGGTGTTCCGCATAATGTAGTCGAGGATGACCAATTTCTCCAACTGCTCTCTGAACGACTGTTGAATTGCAGGCGTCCAGAAGCCTCTTCGTTGGTGCTGCGCGTCTCCATTACCGGATTGATCGTCCTCGTCCTCTCCGTCTGACTGCGAGCCATTTGGTCTGCAGTCTTCAGCCCATCTCCGCTTCTTCTTCCGTGCCGCCCTGTCCGCATTGTGGTTTGTGTTATGATGATCTGGCCACGGGTTCTCCTTGAGGAAGATGTTCGCGTCTTTGAAGCCCTTCAGGAACACCTGGAAACTCCCAAGCTTTTCAGGAAATGGCTTCCTTTTCCTGTAGTATGCGCGGCGATCCCAAAAGTCGTAATGGAAGGATTTTGAGGACAGACCGACGACGTCGGTGTAGGGTACGAGGTTGGTGCGCAGCTGGGTATCGAGGACGTACGCGGCGGCTTCGGAGATGTAGGAGAGGTTGGGAATGAGGCAGGCGCGACCGAAGAAGAATGGAAACAGGTTGCGATGTATCCACTTGGTCCATTTGGGATTGCGCGACGCGTAGGGCTCTTCGTCTTTAGGCTTGAACACGCCCACCACCTTGCCCTGTGTGGTGCGCGCGAAGTAGCTGCCTGAACTGCCCTGTGTAATCAACAAGGGATGTACATCCATCTCGATGGCCGTCCTGACGCTTTCCACGATATCGTCGAATTCGAGCTTCGTCAAACGGTCGGAGGGCACGTCGTAGTCGAATGTGAGCGACTCTGCCGTTGCCGGTCGCACCCAGTCTGGCGCCTGGAAGACTGAGTGATGAATCTCGAGCGTCTCCTCGTCTGCCGAGTCTTTCTGCTTCTTGATCTTGAACTTTTGCGCAATCTCGTCGGCCCATCGCTCAAATCGCGCATTGATGGCCTTTATGTCCACGCCAGAATTGGCACGTTGCCGTCGCCCCAACGGAACCTTTCTGTGATTCGGTGAACTCGCGCCTGAGCCATTCATGCGCATATTCGAGTTCCGTTGCGGTTGTATTGGTGCATATTGCGCGTTGGACAGGGGATTCTGGTGGTGGTCGCCCTCGAAGTCGCTGCCGGAGTCGTCCTCTTCTTCCTCGGCTTGGGCTATTCGGGCATAACCCGAAGTTGGCGGTCGTTTTGATTTTGGCATTGTGGATTTGGGAGAGCGAAGGAATCAAGGTCGGTCGGAGTTTGCTGTTGGAGAGTTGAGGCCTGCGATTATGGTGAAATGACGACCGCGGACACAGCTGCTGCAGGGGTCTGAGGCGCTAGTGTTCCGCTGTGGATCATCACATGCAAGACGCCCACACCGTGCATCTGATTCTAGATCGGCCATATTCCTATATGCTGTGGGGTATCGAAGTCTATCTGCAGTACGCTCAAAGAACTACTCAAGTATTCGCGGCATCGATTCATCGTCTAAAAGCTATCGTCAAGATCCACTTGCCGTCTTACCACACTCGGACTGTCCTCGTCCATACCACCCGTTGAGTCTGTGATATCGCCGCCAGCTGTCATGAGCAAGTCATCCACAATACGCTTGCTAGCTTCTCGGGCTATTCCGTATGTCAGCATTTGCCTAATATATGAGCAGGAGGGATCTTACCAGGCGTCTGCATCAGCTTGCTTTGTGGAATGTGGAATTGTATCGTCTTCGGAGGACTGAAGTCAACATCGTCGTCCTCTTCGTCGCTGTCATCGAAGATTGTGCCGCCAGTCCGGTGGATGCTCATAGGTTGTTTGCCTTTGGCAGGTGTCTGTATACTTATACCAGGTGTCCGCGGCGTCTTCATGGGCGAAAAGATATCGGCGCGTAGTTGTGGGGCTGGTGAAGAGGGAGGTGAAGAGTCGAAGTCTAGCAACTTGGTAGCTGCGCTTCGTGGTGTAGGTGCCCCGCGCTGGCCGCCGGTGCGAGGGGTGAATGCACCCGTCGGTTTGTACTTTCTCGGACTGATGAGTGGTGTAGCTTGTACGCGGTATGTCTTGTCGAGAACGCGGTGAAGCAGCGGGTCGTTGTTGACGTAGGACTGTTTCGTGGCTGTAGGCTGCATGAACGGCGAGGACTCAAAGCCGCTCATGTCTGGAAGAGCTTGCGACTTGCCAGGCGTGACGGGCTCCAGCTTCGGCGTCTTCGTGCCGCCAATGTTGGGTCTAAACTCGGATTTCAATGCCTCGTATGGGGAAGACATGCCAGCGAACTGAGGCTGCTCTTCATATTCGCTCTCTTCCTCGTCCTCGTGGTGTTTGCCTCTTGTGGTGGAAGGTGGAGCCCGCGGAGTGCTGTGTCCGAGCGAGGGCGAGTCGAAACCGAGAGTCGATTCGGCGTCTTCTTGTGCGGACAAGGGTCGTGGTGGTGTTGTCGTCGTTCCAGTCACGGTATCCTCGTCCTCGACCGTCTCGTCATCGTACGTTTGTGACTGTTCAGTCTCGTCTTGTACAGCTGATTCGTCTTGCTCGGGGGCTTCGTAGCCCGAGAGAGACACATTGGCGCTGGCCTCGAAGAACTGTTTCCAGAACTTGGAGCCTTCCCAAACAGCTTCCGAATGCTTTCCGTATTGTTCGACGATGGGCAGGATACCGGTTGTTACGATGCGATGCGCGCGGCTGAAGTTTTGGTCGATTTCTGCTTGTGTCAGTCGCGATGGTGGGGTGCTCGAAGCTGTGTTTACCTTGCAGTGTGAGGGTGATGGACTGCTCTAGCTTCTCCAGTTCCTCTGTCAGCGACAGATTGCGCTGCGGCGCCATGCTCATGCGCGACATGGTGCTGTTCGCGTCCAGCAATGGTAGGCGCGGTCGGTGCCTGACGCGCTTTGTCGTGTTCGGGACGAAGACTCGCGATTCCTTGGCACCCCCGAAGTTCCCCGCACCTTCACCCAACACTAGCCCTCCCCATCACGCGTCTGTCGTTAACGATGCTTTTCTCAAACTCGACTCATACCTGCTCAAACAAGCGTGCGGAACCGTACCGCTCGAGTCGTGTAACTACTGCACTCGCGCTAGAATGGCAAGGTTATCAACGTCATTCCCGGACCTCTTAAACCCGATGAGGATGCGTAGGTTTGCGCCATGCAACCGACATGCCCATGGTACGAGAGGGGTTGTGCATACGCTACGCCTGTTCCGCATGCCCGGTTAGCCCATGTGAGCTTCCCGGTGCTGTCGATGAGGAGATCTGGGGTAATGTATATGCATATGTAGCCGCTGAGGTGCATGCTTGACTGCCTCGTTGTCTCCTTAGTTTACCTCTCCTTCTCTTCTTCGTATTGGGCTCTCGACTTGCTACCACGCTAAAACAACAATCATCATGTCGTTTCGTCTACCAGCAAGAACAGTGTATCAAGCTGTCCCGAGACTTACGAGTATACCACGAGCGGCTTCAAGAGCACCACGATGGGCGCGCTGCTACGCAGTTACTTCGGACAAGAACAGAACAGCCATCGTAACGGGCTCCGCTCGCGGAATGTGAGACTCAGATACTTTATCAATACGCTCCATAGAGCCGACTAACCTGTAACAGCGGCAAAGCCATCGCTCTCCGATTGGCTAATGACGGATACGATGTCTGCATCAATGATATTGAAGCCAACAAATCTGGTGCCGATGAAGTTGTCAAAGAGATACAAGGCTTAGGGCGCAAGTCTTTTGCATATACCGCTGACGTATCGAATTTGAGCGAGGTCCAAGGCCTGGTGAAAGCATCTGTCTCGGAATTAGGACCTTTAAACACCATGGTAGCAAATGCCGGTATCGCACAGGTCAAAGCACTTCTCGATCTTACGGAACAAGATCTCAAGCGCATGTTCGAAGTCAATGGTAAGTGTTTTTCCGAACAGCATGAAGACAGTCCACTAATATATTTGCAGTATTCGGCGTCTACAACTGCTACTCCACAGCCGCTAAGCAGATGATCTCGCAAGGCAACGGCGGCAAGATCCTAGGCGCAGCGTCAATCGTGGCATTCAAGCCCTTCGCACTACTATCTCACTACAGCGCCTCCAAATGGGCGGTCCGTGGACTTACTCAAGCTTTCGCCATGGAAATGGCTGAACACAAAATCACCGTGAACGCCTACGCGCCCGGCATCGTCGGTACAGCCATGTGGGATCTCATTGACGAGAAGCTCGGTGAGAAGACCGGCGCGAAGAAGGGCGACACGATCAAGAAGTACACTGACGAACTGATTGCGTTGGGCCGGACTAGTGCACCAGAGGACGTGAGCAGTACGGTGAGCTTCCTATGCAGTAAGGACAGCGACTACATGACGGGCCAGACTATCGTCATTGACGGCGGTATCATCTTCACTTAATTTATCTTGGTAGTTGACAATAGCAGCTCCGCTATCTACGTACCTGTGTCGTTTTCTATTGCTGGCAACTATTTGGACGTCGTATCTATCTGACAGGCCACTTAGCAGAGCGAGAGTAGATTGATTGTCGGGTCGGGTGTAGGATGTTACCTAGGTATGATGGCTAAATGATCTTCATCGTGCACTGCGGTCATATGAACATAGCTACAGACCTGCCAGGCTATTCTAGTTTGTTCGTGTCTTTTCCTATCTGTTCTCGTTCCTTCCAGACTCTTCGTTACGCAGGTGTTTGTGTATGGCAAACCTGCTAGGTTCTCTTACTTATGGTCGCTGACATGTACCATCACATCAGATCAACTACCTACTAGTTGCCTCCGTCACATATTTTCAAGCTCTAACCAAACACCCAACACCAACCCATGGCCCCTCCAAGTCTCAGCGGGCTTCTTAGTCGACGTGGGAGCAACCGACCCGAACAACATCCAGCGCAGTCATCACACCAGCAGAGCGCGAACGCAGATCAGCCCGCTGGCGAAGATCCAAAATCCTGCGAATTGCGCCGCAAACACATAGAATGGCTTGAGAAGATGGGGGAATTGAGCAGCTTACTAGTCACTGTGGAGAGCGTTCCGATGTCGCAGGACGGATACAAAGTCTTCAGAGATTTCACTGAGCAAATGAGACGTCGCATCGAATCTCTTCAGGAGGAGATAAAGAAGGAGATTGATAGGGGATTTGCTTGATGCAAACGGCAAGGCTCACCGCTGTACGACGATGGGATGAGGTGGTCTAGTCCTTGGTTTGCTAATCCCGTTTGCGTCTCGATGGCGCAATGTTCCGGTGTCATCAGTCGCTGGGTGCGACTCAGCACACATGTCATAGCAGTAGTGCCTCGTTCGTACAAGTGCAATTGTATAAGTAGGGGTCGAGACTACGAATCAGGTTCATCATTTCTGCAACCACCAGTGCCCCCGTTCTAATTCAATCTTACTCCATACAAGCATGACTTACTACCACACCCAGGAGAACTTGCGCTTCTACCAGTCCTGTTATGACTTCGACCGTAACCGAGACGCCGCCATCTACCCCCCGCTCCCGGCACCATCGGTACCTCAGGAACAAAGTATAAATTGGGGAAAGTCGCCCAATGGGGAGGTCGACACACCCCCAGCGCTTGTACAGCGTCAAGTCAACCTCAGGCGCATCCATTCGCATGATGGTGACGACCTCGGAGTGTTTTCGAACGTAATAGCATACATTTATTCTACTACGACTAATCCTCAGCCACAAGCTGTGATCGACAAGGTCTCGAATGTACTCAATACGCTTTATACACGTATTGAAAAGCTTGAGATGGACAATACGGTGCTGCAGTTAAGCTTGGATGAAGCACAGGATGATTTGGATATGGAGCGGCAGAGGAATATGCGCCGCCATTACTATCAATCCTAGCACCTAAGCCGACGAGGAACTGCTGAGGAAGACCCAGAATGGAAGAACGTTAATTAGAAGTGTTGTTGCTTTCAGATTGTACCCATGAAACATCATTTATACGTCTTTGGCACGTGTTTGCAGTTCTCCATGTCTTACGTGAATAAGATCGCGAAGCATACCATCATTCCTGGATACCGTATGGCGGCGGCCTGTCAATGTTGTCAGTATCGGCAAACAAATCTATGTGGTCTTGCTCTCAGTCAGTATAGGCGATACTGCTGTAGGTGATCGTGCAATCGCTCGCATATTGCCCGTTTGATCACACGTGTGAGACTTCACCGACGACTGTTCTGTGTTCGCGATAGCAAGAACAAACTGCGATCGGTCTTCCGCTGCTTATCAACCAAACCCAGTCGTCTCATTGTTCGTCCGCCACTCCACCAGCTGTTTTTCCAAACGCGACCGATAACGAGGAAGGCTTTTGACATAAGTACAGCTCATCCGAGATCTACAACACTCATCTTGTTGACGCTTCATCATTCACATTTCGAATCGCTGATACCTCGAAGTTCTTGAACACAATGAGCCCTCGCAAGAACATGAAGAAAGCTGAAGAGCAACGCCCTCCAGCACCGTTTGCGGAGGACGATACTGCTTCCCAAGGTGACGATGAGTTCGAAGGGCTCAGTCAAAAGCTCATCGACGAGTATCTAGCGGCCTACGACGCGCTTCAGAACCCAAACCTTAACGACAAAGAAGAGAACGCAAACGATGACCCTTCTGAAGACTCACAGTCCACTCCAGACGAGTACGAGCAAGAGTCTCACGGCAAGATCCTATATCTGCGTTCGAATGGGAACGAGCCTCCATCGCAATTCCGGCTCAACTACCGTACCGTTGTTGACCCACCTCAAGGTCAACCAGCTCCGGTCCAGCAAAACCCGGTTCCTGTAGCTCCACCTCCAACTTTCGTCTATCGAAATGCTGCGAACCCCGCTTTTATGGCCGGTCCAAATGTTCCGCAAGCTGAGCCTGTGTGGTACTCCGTTGAGGGCATTCCCGAAGCAATTGAACGATATGATCAAAATCATCGAAGGCATCGTGGATTGGCGCTCCCCTTTCATGGCAAACCCTTCGAAGAACAGTACCTAAGGGCCTCGGCACCAGGAAGGTACAGTCGGGGTGTTGAAGGCATGCCCCGCGACTTCTTTCCTAGTCGGTCTGCACCGATCATGTGTCGTCCCAACGGAAGACAGGACGAACGAATGCCGTTTGCGCCGCCACGCCCGTTGGATAGAGACATGGCTCCTCCCATGGAACGCGACCTCCTGTTTGAAATGTGGGCCGATGCCTTTGTTGAGAGTAGAAGGATGGAGCAGGATATGGCAGCATTTAGGGAAAGACTCCAGCGGCTGTACAAGTTCTGTTACAGGTCTTAGCGTTCAGGTGGACGCATCTGGCTCGTGATCTTCATTTTTCCAAGGATCTCGGTAGAGTTTCTGGTTGTCATCTCGCTGGCGTAGCCGTTCGCTCATTTGTTTGTCGCTTTCCGTTGACGACGCGTTGTCATCTACGTGTGTACTTACTGTAGCAACACAACACTCTTTATCTGTAGCCTGTTAGCAACATCATTACTAAATCCCCATTCATCGTTCATCGCGAGAAGTTCGCTACATGGCAGTCATGTCTTCCTACCAAAGATCCAGCGCATCGCCATACTTTCTTCCGCTTGATCCTCAATCCTACCAGCAGCGATATGCGCAAAGCCCGTCTTCACGAGCGCCGATGCATAATCCTTACGATTGGATGTATATGAGCGACATCCTTCACAACGACATGCGAGCGATGATGGAGGACATGAGGACAAGGAGAAAGCAGTGGCAAGAAGAGAGGAAGAAGATGCGCGAGACAGTTCAGGGAGGCAGCGCGGGCAAATGCAGCGAGAGTGTGATGTGAGACGTCGCATAACGAGGTCGACAATAATTGCCTGGAGATGAATAAGGCGTGTGTTGGTTGGGAGGAGTGTATGCGTTGTATACTTGATTGTGCAATTTCGCGATCAATATTGGGCTACCACTAAGCGTTGCAGTGGTGGGATGAGTTTCTTCAATACCTAGCCGAGTTTAGCATGGAGTACATGTGAAAACCCGGGACCAACCGCCGGTCAGATTTCGGTATCACAGATCTGAGTAAAGTTAGCTACCCCTCGAACGCTCTGTATTGACCAGTGAGGGCGTGCACCAGGAGCTTACATAACGGCATGTATCGACATACCTTCATTTGATGTCCTATATTACGTATAGGCTGCGGTGTCCTAGGGAGTGGCAAGCCAGGTATATGCTATGCGGTTGCAGTTAGCCACGACATGCCTAGAAAGCGGTGATTGACGTATAAGTCATGAGTCCAGCAGTAAAGACAGTAATCGCCAAGACAATCGCGGAGTGCTGAATAGTATAGCACATCCGGGATGGCCGTACATTGGTCGTACAAGCTACGATTGTTCCACGCAGGTAGGAATGTCGGGGAATCGGCCCGTGGTAGCCAGCCGACTGAACAACGGTCAAACCAGGTGGCAAAAAATGCCTGTGAGGTAACTGGGAGTAACTTGGCGTTCGTTGGTGAGAGGCCGACATTGATGATTCGCAAAAGAACGATATGATGAATGAAGCGGCAACATGGAATATCGGCGATGCTCTGGTGGCATCTGAGATCACAAATAGCGGACAATTCCTCCGTATGCCAAACACCAGCCCCTCTTTGGTAGCATGCAGATCGCTTAGATCCTCATCGTGAAACCCTCGGCTACGTAAGACAGACGAACGGGGCGTACAATGGTTTTCGTTATGATACCCCACGTCTTGGGTAACGACCGATCGGATATCCCGATAACGTTTGCGCGCGTCAATTTCGGGTTTGCTATATCTCTGCCAGCAATGAGGAAGGTCGCAGCTGATACAAGGAGTGGTGAAAGCCGGCCACATTACGTCTTGTATTCAGCATATGACTTCGAGTCTTTCCAGGCGCTACACAAACCCTGATGCCTCACTGCACCTCGGTACAGTCGTCTGTCGAGGAGCGCGTTCGTTCTTGTGCGATCGACGCGGTCGCGTTGTTTGCTCAACTTCGTTAGCGGTCGGCTAGACAAAAAGACGTGGCTGAGCTTTTGCCTCCGCCCAGAAGCTTGGGTGAATGAAGAATAGCTTCCGATGATAGACCGCTCCCGCAATGACAACACAATGCTCCTTATTGGTAGACCCTACGCAGTCTATCGTCGCCCTAGGTCAAGACTCACGATGCGAAACGTTTGAGTGGCACTGGTGACCCTGGAGCCAACTCAACTCCCGAATTGTGAAATCCTGCTTTTGGCACACGTGGACCATTCTGTCTGCCTCAGGCGTGCTCTGTCTATGGTATAAGATCAGCTCATGCTCATCCGTCATCTTCTCACAAAATTCCGCATATCATTATACCCTTACTTGTCGCTTGGTTTTGCGACAGGCATCGTTTCTACCAGTCGCGATAGTATCGAAGCGATGTATGAGATTGCTCCTTTCAAACGGCATAAACGACATGGCATGCGGGGATACCAATGGCCAGCTTTCGATCTAGGAGGTTTTGGCGGCCATGGTGGTATGGGTGGTCTAGGAGGGTATCCAGTGTGGGATTCTGGCTTTGATACTCCATACTACGACGTGCCGGGCTCAGTCGAACAGGCGACGCGATCACATGTTGAGGCCCAAACCGAGTTTGAGAAGGCAAAGGAAAAGTACGAGGAAGCCAAGAAGAAGTTCGAGGAATGTGAGAAGAAAGGTAAGTAACCTCCACGTATCCATGTGAAGCATACGCTGACTTTGCTCCTGTGCCAGTGGAGAAAGCCGAGCAAATGCTGAACTTGGCGAAGCATCGTGCTGGAGGTTGGTGGAATTGATGCAGTTATTATTGAGTGGCTGCTGGCAGCACAACGTGGGTGAGGGCGAGGAAAGGCCCTGGTGTCTCAAGCTCCGAGGATAGACGACCCTTGTAACTTTGAATTCGCATTGTTCCGTTTGGTGGAGATCCTGTTTTAGCCTGTAAGGAGCTGCAAAAGCATCGTCGGCCAGGAAGAGATGAATGCATGCGCCGTAAGCTAAGTGAACTTGAGCTAGAGGCGAATGAAGGCGCCCCAGCCCTACACGTATGTGTAATTACATCATGCAGTGTGTTGTATAGAGACCGGTGGCCACACGATACTAGCTAAGGTATACGCTATGGCGCCTCCGTTTGGCGCGGCCGATCGTGGTGTGGGTGCTATCGCAGCAGGTATGTAATACGTTTGGACATCGCTTTCGTTTCGTTGTTCGTTGTTCGTTGTTCGTCGTTCGTTATCTGGCTGATAATCTGTGTTGGTCAAATCAAAATCTTGGACATATAATTGCTCCGTCTAGGCCTCCAGTATGAGTGCAACCTGGACAGTTCACACCAAAGCGCCACGATACCTCTCAGCATGACCGCTCATGCTGCTTCAACTGCTCGCGAAGCTCAGGCTTCCAAGGCCACAGGTGTACCTCGTGCACGACCCGCTCACGAAGAAGTCGAGTATGATTCTGAAGCTGAAACTTTGGTCGGGAGTGAGTCTGATGATGACGGTGATGCTCGTCCAGCACCGGCCAACAATCAGCCTGCAGCTCGTCACGAAGCTGCCCGGCGGCTTCCAGCTAACGAGCCCTGCACGTCTCCTCAAGACGACGTAAACGCAGCGGTCCGCGCGCAAAAGGCGAAAGAGATGGAGAACGCGGTCCAACGGTCCGAGTCGCTCATTGGAGGCGCTGGGCGGAAGGCATGATGAGAGCTTTCCTGGCCAGCGTAGATTGGCGGTGCGAGCCTGATCGAATGTCGATTAAGAGAGGGACTTTATGCGACAAAGATTGCGGTGCGAAGCTGGCAAGGATTGTTGAAAGCGAAAGATGGAGAGGGAGCTTCGGTGTGCCCCGCAAAGACGCGTGCGCGTCGAGTATCGCGCTAGTATGTTAGCAGCTTAGATCAACCACGCCGCCTTGTGATTCTGTCGTCTATCCCCACGCAATCGCGTAGCATCCTCAACCTCCCTGTGCTTCATCATCTCAACGTGTCACGTCTCATATCGGTCCTTGTTCTATCATGGAGTCGGCTGCGAGGCCACCCCCTCCGCCTACTTTTAGATCTCGGGTGAAGCGGTATACGGAAGACACCCGGAACGTAGCAGCATGGCTTCGCCAGACCGCTGTGAAATGCGGATATGCCGCTAGCACTGCATCAACGAGCGTAAATTCTTCCAATGGAAAGAAAGGCGAATATCTCATCAAAACGTCTGAGTTTATTCCCATGGCTGAGGCCATCGCGGCACACAAACCTCAACCCACCATTCCGCAAGATGTGAGTACTACTCCATGAACGGACTGTATGTGAAACAAACACTAACTTCGTACAATCATCTCTAGGTGATGGCGACAATTTCTCGAGCTATCAGATTACGCCGGAGAGAGACCCGATACGTAATGTCCGTTGGCGCCAAGAGTAGACGAAGCCAGCTCGAAGACAGCACACATACCCATTTCACAGAAAGGGTTCTGGGCAAGGTTCGAGACGTGCTGCGACCAACAAGCCAACCTTCTGCAACTGCACAGCAGACAGATACCATACCGTCACTCAGCGATAGGCTTGCTTCATTATCGACATCTGACACCGACGAAACAGATACTATCAGTGAAGAGCCTTTCAAGGACCTCACACCTGTACACATCGACTTCGACGACAAGGAAGTTGAGGACGAGTTCTGGCTGGCCATCGATGTTTTCCTAGAGGACTTGTTCTTCGTTCGTCAATATGTAAAGGACATGTGGACTACATACAAGGAATCCGTGATGGAGAACAATGTTTGCTCGCTGTTGACGAATACAGCAATAGACGTCATTCGTTTAGCTGAGAAAGAGTTTGATCGACTAGTCAAGCGGCCCAACCGATTCCCCGCAGACGTGTTCCCTGTCTGGACGTTGCCGTCATTGCTGTTCTACAAGCGGACTCCTACGCTGGACAAAAAGTTCACGCCTGAGCAATTTGGATCTCTAGACCTCATTAAGCTTCCTCGCTATGATTCTCAGGACCAGAGTGACTTTGCGTTGTTCTCAGTCATGTCAGGGCTCAAATGGTATCTTCGGTCTACTCGTAGAGGAGGAGAGTTTGGCGAGCTTAACCCCACCCCTAGCAAGCTTGATCCTACCGTCTTCAAGCAACCCGGTGAGGATTGGCACCCGTATCTGCCAAGGGTTGTTGAGATGTGCCATCTGATGCTGTGGCAAGCCTGGGTAAAGTTGCCCCTGATTTCGGAAGGTAAATTCGCTACAATTGCCGAAGACGAGATCGCGAGAGGGGTACGCTATATGGTGGAACACAAAAAGATTCCAATCTGGGTACAATTCGCTGC